TATATATATGTATGTATGTATATATATGTATGTATGTATATATATATATATGTATGTATGTATATATATATGTATGTATGTATGTATATATATATATGTATGTATGTATGTATATATATATATATGTATATGTATATATATGTATGTATTATGTTATGTATATTTTATATATATATATATGTATATATATATATATATGTATAATGATATATATATATATATATATTACTGATTATATATCATATACTATATATATATATATATGTATGTATGTATCAATATATATATACTATTATATAATATAATTATACTATATATATATATATATATAATATCATATAGTTATGTATCTTAATGTAATTGCTAATTAATATATATATGTATGTATGTTATATATATATATATATATATAATGTAATGTATGTATGTACCTATATGTATTAGAGGAAGAACATTATATACTATATGTGTATATATATATATATATATATACTGGGTGAATGTGCAGTAGTAGCAGCAAGCATAAGTTATATATATGCTACTATTATGTACCTAGTATATCTATATATGACTGATTATCAGATCATATGTATACTTATATGATACTATAACTAATATACTAATGTAATGTATGTAGATGTATGTATTAGTATGTATGTATGTATTCCATGTATGTATATAATATACTATAATGCTATTGTAGGTATGTATGTATGTATAATATATATAATGTATATATATATACTATACTATACAATATATATATCAAATAGTATACTATAATATTGAAATAATTATATACTTTATTATGTATATGTATACTAAATAATGTTACTATATAATATTAATACATATGCATACGTAACATATCACGTAATACATATATATAATGTATACAATATAACATAATATGTAATATAATATATGTAGTACGTAACTACTACTACATATACTACTATTATACTATAGTATATATATATATATATACTAATACATACATATAGTATCTACATAACATATACATATATATATATATATATGTGTATGTATATATATAATATATATATATATATATGTATGTATATATATATATATATGTATGTATATATATATATGTATGTATATATATATATATGTATGTATATATATATATGTATGTATATATATGTATATGTATGTATATATATATATATATATATATAGTATATATATATATATATATATATATATATTAGAGATGGCACGATACCACTTTTTTATGTCCGATACCGATACCGATATCATAAATTTGGATATCTGCCGATACCGATATGAATCCGATATAGTGTTTTTTAACCAACAAAACTGTTTTTTAAATATCTTGCTGCATTTTGCAAGTCTGCAAGTTCATACTCAAGTTTAAAACAACAACTACACTAAAGCTATTCTGTTATACCTGTATGCAAAAAAATATTTCATAGTTCAGCAATACTGATCAATCTAATAAACTTAAACCTACACCATCCTCCCTATTCTGGTATTTTAAAGAGTACTTAGCATAAATATTAAGCAACCTAACTAATAGGGTTGCAAACTCCCAGCAAAAAAAATAAAATAGGGAACCACCTTCACCTCCACCTCATGATGCTTAATCGACGTAATCAACTTTAATTTGATGCAGTGTGAAAAAAAATGCACAGAAATCAATTATTTTTCAAGAAATATTAAATAGATTCAACATCTTTCTTCAACAGAATTGCAGACTGCACAGATGGTACCTTCCCAAAGGAAAAAGTACTATAGCTTACTAGGGTATATATATTAGACTTAATAGTCACTATATACAGTAATTGACTTCTATTCATTTTACATCAAATTAAAACTTTGGGTGTCAGATAATTATTTTTTAAAAGCTAGACATTTTAAATGAGAATAAGAAAGAAAAGTATTTCTTTGTGCCCCTCTCCATGTTAATGCCCTGATGGCCCCCTGGCTAAACTTTGCTAGATCCGCCCCTGCACAGTTACGTCAGCTACGTAGAAAAAGATCCTGGTGTAGAAAGTAATATTAAATAAATTCTAACAACAGCTTATCAAGCTTAAACGTGCTGCTGTTGTTCAGCCGCTGGTTTCCTCTTTCTGGTGCAAAGTGGGCCAAAAACAAACAAGAGAGACTCGCGACAGAAAAGCCGATCAGCTGATCATTAAGCAGTTTCATGATTGAAGTAGCAGCAAGAAGAGGCAGTCGCTCGTTAAGCTTAACGCAGGAATGCTTTACAAACATTCAGAGATGGACTTACACACTTGCTTTACTTCTCTCGGGGATAACTTTGTCGGAGATGAAATGCCGGGTTGCTAGCGAAGCTCCAAATGCTATCCAGACCACCACAGGTCCCGCATGCCACAGCCGCTCTATCACGTGATGCATACTGCTCCGACGTGCTAACGTTCTGAGGTGAGTTACGGCGTGTTGCAAGTTTTGTGAGGTGCTTTCGTGATATTTAATGGATCGGATTACATTTTTTATTTTTCTCCGATATCCGATCCAGTAATTTAGGTCAGTATCGGACCGATACCGATACGTAATATCGGATCGGTCCATCTCTAGTACACGCATACACATACAAATATATACTACTATATATTTCAAAACATACTATATATAGATAATATATTATCATATATATATATATATATACTACTAAATTACCTATATATACTATATAAATGATATATATAATACTGTATGCTATATAAACTATGCTAATTAAACTTGCTGTGTATATATACATACTATATGTATTGTATATATATTATATAAATATGTTCTGTATAATATATATACCATTTATATATATACTGCCGTATACTGGCTATACCTATATATGCTATATGTATTTTATATGTACTATATATGATGTATATGTATCCGTGATATGTATTGTACTATGTATGTATATGTATTGTAATATATGTTATATAATATCATCATATATATATACACGTATTGTATGACTACATATACTACTCATGACATATCACTAATATACAGCTACATATATATAACATATATATAATATACCAATATCTATAACTATACATAAATAATATATTACTCATATATATACATATATATATATAATATAACATATGCTGTAATATATTATGCTATATTATATAGTATAATAAATATATATATGACTATATTGTCATATGATATATAATATGTACTATGTAATAAATGATATATATGATATATACTGATATATTGTACTATGTCAATATATATGTATCATGTAATGTATACTATATATACTATATCGATATAATGATTATATCGCTATATATAATATATAATATATAATATATATATAATAATATAATATACTACTAATATATATGTCATGATAATATGTGATGCTAATCTATGTAGATGCTATGCTATATATGTATATACCCTATACTATATATAATATATACACGCTAGTTGTATAATACATATATATATACAAATATATATTATACACTACATCATAATAACACATATATATAGTATACATATATACATATACTATGATATACTTATATACTACATTGCTATTATATAATGTATACTGTATATATATGAATATGTTACTTGTATACTGTATACTGATATACCTGCTACTATGTATATGTATATATTGTATATTGTACTGATGAATTATATATGATACGAATATCGTATATATATGTATATATATATATGTAATATATGTATATATATGTTATGTTATATATATGTATATATAAATGATGTATATGTATATGTATATGTACATGTACTGATATATTGCCTATATACTATATACTGTATATATATACCTTATATATATAGTATATATACATATGATATATCCATATATAAATATACTACATATGTATATATGTAATATAACTACGTATGTTAGATAGATACTGTTATATTTATAATGCAGTTGCAAGCAAATATATCTGAACTCTCACCTAGAACATAAGCCTACCTACAGTGTGTGCAGGTGTGTGTGTGTGTATGTGTGTGTCTCGACCTCACACAAGAGGCCAATTCTCATGTGCATAATAACCTAACTGAAACTATATCTGTAATATGTTGAATAAATGTTTTAATCAAGAACTTAAAAGCTTAATCAAAGAATATAAAAGTAGAAAAGATAATAATGAATAACCTGGTTATTCAAATAGCATCATTCAAACAGCTCCTCAAAATGACAACCAAAATGCACACTCTACAGAGGGAACAAAGACATTTTAGAAGTATACTTCCTGGATGCAAAACATGCTCTGCAAAAGCCTGCGCTTCCTGTCTACTTTGGCACAGAGTGTACTCAGAGTTAGGCCTTTCTTTTATAATGCAATGTAATCTACATATAAACATTTAAGATTATAGATTTAACTCAACAGTTTAAAGTGGTTATAACTGCACCTGTAATAAAGGCTAATTGGGTACCAATATGTTTAAACATCTGAATGCAATATCAATATTAATTATCAATGCAATGGTAATGATGATGGTTATTAACAATAGCAGCAAAATATCTCTCCAATCTCAATACTATCTAAAATATAACAGGACACTGGCGTAAATTCTCGATCATCTCACACTTCTGTTTAATCAGTTTTCCGTTTGATGTTTATTCAGTTCTAATCTCAGCCAAACTGATTTACTCAGGAACAAATAAAACACTGAAAAAAGCCAAACAATAAAATGTTTAAGTTATCTAAGTGACTTATATATCATGTTTAACCTGAGTAGCGAAAGACGGCGGGGGTTTGAAAACGATGTACGGGGAGTTCGCTGTTCTCGCCGGCTCTAGTGAGCCTTGAACCCTGGCTCGCTATGGAGCTGGTGGGTAACAGACGTCTCTGAAAATGTTGGAGCACTTTTGCAAATATGTGATGTCTTGATAAACCGAGCAGATATTTGAGGTTTACACAGCTACATTCTCGCCTAAAAATATCTTAAAAGTTTATTTTGTGACCCAGAAAGAATAATAAGAGTAATATTAAAACTAAGTAGCTCCCGCCATTGATGGAAACGGAAATTGGCTGGGCTGCGCTATGAATCCTGGGATATGGTGGGCCACGAAGGATACACCTGACCCGTCCTTCGAATGTGGGGAAAAGGAGCACGCATTTGTCGGCCGCATTCGGAGGAGTCTACGAATTTGGACAGCCTTCGTTGCGTCACTGTGACGTAATTGGCCTACAAATGCGGCCTCGGGAGGATGTAGCCCATGAATTTGGGCGCCCCCAGTGTCTAACCCGCATCTCATGTTTCCTGTTTTATTTTAATAGTTCCTTGTCCTGCGTTTAGGGTATTCAGTTTTGCTTATTCCCTGTCTCGTCGTGTTTGATCTCTCCCAGATCAAACACGACCCTTGTTCCTAGCTCCCTGTTTTCTTTTAGGTCCCCGTCCAGGTTTTCTTTTCTGTGTTTGTAAAGGTTTTGCTACAGTGCAATAAGCTGCTTCCTTCAGTTTACCTTATTGTTTCGAGTCCTGCGTTTAGGTCCTCATCCTGCCTGCAGCAGCACTCAGCATGATGGTAACAAATAGAAAAACTCAAATTGCTCCGATTGTTTATTCCAGTAACATTCCGTGACATCAAACTTCAGTTGGCAAATTTTTTAAATATTAATTTACCTATAAAGTATAGTAAATAACTTTAAAAAGGTGCAATGAAGAAGTGCAAATCCAAAGGTTTTCAGGGCTGGGCATCTATTGTTGAATGCAAAATGACTCAGGACGGCAGCAAAGACGTCATTCTCTTCTCTGCTAAGCTGCAGTTTGGGAGTATTTGGGGGGATTTTTAGGAGGATATCTCATCCTGACTTTTGAAAAACAGTGGAGTGTTATGATAGAGAAAAAGAAGATGTAGTAAGATAAACTGATTATTAGCCTGGGTCTGCACATTAGATTTGCTGACAACATGACTTCTTTAAATGTTTTTTGTTGGCAACCAGGTTTACCGCGACTGCAGCACCGAAACAGGGGCTTCTAAATGTTTACCTGTTGGTGGAGAGGAAGCAGTAACACCACTACAGAAACATGAATACACCCATTCAGCTTTGGGTTAGTTAAAGCACATTAATCTATTTCTTAAGCATCGAACTCGGGAGCCTTTTTTGAGTCTCTTTCAGGATTCAGAGTCTGACCACTGAAAACTACGCCCGGAGTCCGCTCATCAAGGCGTCGTGGAGTTGAAGGTCGGTGCCCAGTCGGGGTACGTATCCAGCGAGAACAAAGGAATTCCCCAAGTTGCCATGGCCAGCAGGACGGCGAGGACTCCAATCGTGTTGACGCCAAGTCCCGCCTTAACCTGCAGCAGACAGGATCAGATTTTTCTTGTGAATTATGGCCAGCATACATTTAGTGAAAGAGTTATTTCTAGTTGCAACCTCTATTTTCTTGTGACAGAACTCACCATATCTAGGGTGGTAAAGTGTCCATAGCCATACACCACAGCACCTGGTGGGTTGGACACTGGCAGGAGGAAGGAGAAGGATGTGCACAGGGTGGCGGGGATCAGGATGTACAAAGGGTTGACGTGTATGGCCTCGGCCTGAAGCGAGAACAATCTCTCATAAATATTTCCCACATTAGTGAGATTAAATAACAATAATTAGTTTTTATTATAAAAACTTTTATTAACATTCAGTCAAAGGATTAAGGGGGGGGGGGGGCAATATGTATTTACATGTAAATGTGTTAGTAACGTCTGTTTAAACGCGTTCCTGTGATTATTTTCGTGTTGGTCTGAAGTGAAATATCGCCCTCTGCTGGTACTGCAGCTTACTGTACCTTTTGCATGCATGTCCTTTTCACGCTTTTTTCACGTATTTTGCTTGTTTACATTATTGTATTTTGCACAACTCTGTTGCTTGTGAAGCTCGCACACAAGAATTTCACTCACATGTGCTGTACCAATGTACCTGCACATGTGATGGGACAATAAAAGTGATTTGATTTGATTTGATTTGATTTGAAATATCGCCCTCTGCTGGTACTGCAGCTTACTGTACCTTTTGCATGCATGTCCATTTCACGCTTTGAAGATGCAAAGTTTGGGATGGACATGGTCGACGGGTGTGTCTATTGCATGCTTTGCAGTGGTACTGGTTGAAAAGATAGACATTGCCAACTTGACATCCCCCCCTCTAACTTGGTCAGAGTGCTTTGTTCACAAACTGCCTCCGTTTGGACCTGTTCTTTTTGTATTTTTTAAACCAGAGTCAATTCAGGGAAATATTACGTGTGTCTGTAGCATATAGGTTTATATGGTTAAATGGTAATTGTACGAAAAGTAAAGCACAAGAGGCAACAATGCATTTAAAAAAAAAGAAATTAATGAAAAACGATGTGTTTCAGGTGATTTTTACGGAGTAACGAGAAAGTAACGTGTAATGAATTACTTCCTCCTGTTAGTAATTAATTAATGTACTACATTACTTTTACGAAAAGTGTGACCCCAACACTGATCACAACAAAGAGGGGAAATATCTCCAACATGCAATTACTTTGCACAAATGTAATGTCTTTGATTTACTGCCCGGGTGTGAAACTCTGTGATGGACCACCTGTGAACATCCAGACTACTGTTTCAAGAATTGTGCTCCACCAAAAAAACACAAGTATACAAATGAGTGGTTTGAATTGACCAGAGGAACGTGCTCAAGGCCAGCATACAGAGGCACCATCTTCTTTTGGAGGTCAACGATGAGGGTTGAATCTCTCAGCCAACCCAGAGATCAGAGAACTAAATGTCCCTTAGAAAAGCTAAATGAGTAAGTTCTGCACACTTCCTGGAGAAACCCCTCCCTACTTATGGGGGGTCCGAAGGACTTGAGACAGAACTGTAAAAAGAGTTGTTAGCCTTGATGTGGTCGTCTCTTTTGTTGTAAGTTCCATATGCTCTGTTTTATGTTGAAACAAAATCTTAAAGCTCATAAACAGTACAAACTGCAGCTAAAGCAAAACACTGAAACAGCAGAACGACTCAGATGTCACAGCAGTTTCCCTCAAAAAAGCTGAATTTATCAGACTGAAAACACTGATGAGGTCAGGACTGAGGAGACATGAGAGGAATCTTGAAGACGTGTCTCTGCATAGTCTTAGCACTCGAGCACTTAAATTAATGCTTGAACTGGAGGCCGACCTCCCGCTAAGTTGATGTTATGGAAGTTAAAGAATTTACAGGCATCAAATAGCATTTAGGCTCAACAAATGAAAAAGCAGATTCTGAGGAAAATGAATCATCTGGAAGCTGAAACCACACAGTTTTACTTATTTTATTTTTGACTAATTTGACTCTAGTGCTGGATTTGACGGTGAAACGGGGAACAACGCGCAGGAAAGGCCCAGACCAGCACCCGTGGTGCACAGCTGATTTCTAAAGAGCTCATTAATTCAACATGAGTATAAAATTGCTGCTCATCCCTTGCGTGTTGTATTTGTCGGGAGAAGCCAATCCGAAGAAAGTAGGGTTAAAGGGAGTGGATTTAAACGGTTTGTTTCAAGCAGACCATGAACGGAGGGATTCCTCCACAGCCCAGTGTAAGATAAATAATGATTATTTTAAGTACTCTAGTAAAGTCCAAGAATAAAATACTGAGCTCAAAATTGAACAGTAATTCTTAGCATTTCGGCAGATCTGTAAAGTATAACACACTGAACTAACCAGAGGAGAGAGAATGGGGAGGAAGATGGTGATGGTGGCAGCGTTGCTGGCCACCTCTGTCAGTGTGGTGGTAAGGAGGCAAGCCACTGTGACTGTGGCTAAGACTGGGAGGTCGCCCAGAGGTGTCATCAGCCTGGCCAGCCATAAAGACAGACCTGACTCCTGCACACACAAACAAACACACATGTTAAGTGTACAGCAGATTTTAGACCAGCTTTAGGTACCATTACATCAACCACTGGTTTCTGAAGGCCCATTTTGAAGATTTGACATGACATTTGTGGACATATGACCAGATGCAATGAGGACAGGCTGGTCTGACTGTGAAGCCATTTGTTCATTAATTAATGATTTCAATTGTAGACAAATTGTCAGTGGACAATGCACAGTTAGACATACCATGGCAAAATTCACAAAAAAGACTTTTTTGTTCAGCTTGAGTCTGAATGAGTGACTGAGCCCATAAACTGAGCAGCAAAGTGCGTACAGAGGGCAATTCAAAGAGAAGGTGTTTCCACTGACCTCTGTAGGTCCTGAAGTCTTTTTACAACCACAGTCGGTTGGCCTATATCTTTATCTATCTCTATATCTGTCGCTGTTTATCTCTAGAGACAGAGATAGACAGAGATATAATTGAAGTGCACTCAAAACTATGCTATTTGAGTGTACTTATGATTTAACTCTAAGCTAAACAATCTTGATCCTTTTTTTATTTCATGCTTTTCAGTAAGTTTTACTATAATCTTTCTGATCGTGAGCACTGACTGAAAACAATGTTGACACAATCAGGGGAGTAGTCCGGTTAAAGTTGTTGTAATCCCCAATGATCTGCACCAGAGAGCTGTTTTTTATCTGGACCTGAGGTTTTTCTGTGTTAGCTGTGAAAACTTTACAGTGTTATGCATCAAATTTCTTCTTGTTCGGTACGAGGAAACTGTTCTGAATGAAGTGTAATTTGTATGTCAGCATACCTCTGCACCTTTAGCGAGGGCAAAGCCTCCACTGACCATCAGGGCAACTTGCCACGGCATGGAGGCCTGAAACTCTTTCCAGGAAATCATTGACTCTGAATGGAGAAAGAAAAACATTTACTGGGACTGATGGCACAGATGCTGAAAAACAGACAAGATGTTCAGAACCTCTGAGATTTAAATGAGTGTTAATACTTTACTGATTTTAGGTATTCACACATTTCTGTGCAGCTTAAAGTTTATTTTTTTATGTAAAAGCTTGATATGCATAGGACACAATAACCAAAGAAGTGAGAATAATGTATTGTAGGAAAACTGTATTAAGAAGAATTAAGAAAAACAAAAGTTATCTACAGTAGTAAATCTACACTACTTAAACTCAACCAATTATGCTAATTTCCTGCTCTGGGGCTCTTTGAGTACTTGTGTTAGCCTTCAACGTCTGAGTAAACAACAAGCCACGTTCCATACATTTACCATATTTTCTGGAGGGTCCGTGAGCAGGTACGATGAAGAGGAGGACGCCCAGCACCAGAGCCACAGTGGCATCTGTGATGTAGTTGGATTTACTGAAAAACAGAAAAAGGGATCAGCTGGGTCATGGTTCATTGCTGCTGTGAAAAATCATAAATATATGTGTTTCCCAAAGAATCTGGTCTGATATTTGTCATTCTATCAAGAAACTGCCTGGAAAGATCAAAACCAACAATAAGTCTGTTGGTTTCTACTGAAAGTGACTCCCAGATGAACTTCTTTGTATTAGAAAAGTTATTTTGTGAAACAGCTGGTAACTCTGGTTCTTTGCATTACAAAGAGGAAACAATACATATTTTTAACAGTGTACGACTTCTCATGTTGCTCTTGGAAGAGGTGGAATTTTTCAAAATGATACTACATTTAAGAGTATTTGCTTCAAGGTTGTCTCCACATGCCTCTCTGGATGCTTCAGCACTACTGTTTATTTCTTCCCGAGAAATCTGTTCTGGCTGTTGAACAGACAGCAGTTTTAGGAGAGAGCCTGCAGCACATTCAGATACACGAATGTGCATGTGAACCACGATTTTTTTTCTTGATATTCATGGGGTTGTGCACTAATTTTCAAGCATCAGACATTCAGGTGTTTCTGGGAGCTCGACTCTCCAGAAACACCTGAAGAGAACATTCAGCGGAAACTTTCAGGGTGCATATTATTGCCTGCAGGCATTATAGTTTCCATATCTCCATCTCAAGATCAAGTTTGAGTTGACACAGTAGCAGAGATCCAGAACAAATAGTAAGATTGTGACCTCTACAGAATGATCTATAGCAGGAGCGCTGCAGAAGGACACTGGACAAAATTAAACTATGGGTTTGTTGTTGTTGTTGCTTTAATGGGAAAAAAAAATCGAGGGCTTTAAGATCACACCTTGTACTTGGGAATAAGTTTGAATAATTTCCAAGAAAATAAAAAGAAGGTTGTGACTCACTGAGGGAAGAGGGAAGCCCAGCCGGGTATAAAACCTGGAGATCTGGTCAACCACAACAAAACCATCACCACAAAAACCACCCCGGTGAAGATCTCCTGAGAACTGGAGAGAGGGAACGAATGAATGTGTGAATGCATAAATTATCATAGGAATGTCTTTCTGTCAATAACTGATCAACAAGTAAATGAATGATGGCAATCTAAGGTAATGTAAAAACCTCTGTATTATTAAATAAATTCCTGAATGAAAATATAGCTCTTTAAAAGAGTTATATTGTAAGTTATATATGTGCTGACAGAGAGAGAGTTCACCAAACCTCCGGGCTACAGATCTCTTTATCCATCTCATTTGGCCTGAGTTGGTCAGTTTGTGAGATAAATGTCTCCCTCTCATGAATATAAAACCAGGTGGCCCTTGCCTTGCCTTGTTATGTTCAAAGTGCACCCAAAAAACAAGTAAATAAATAAATACATTTATTCTGAATGAATCCCAAAAACGAAAAGAAAAAGACTGAAAAATGCAGAAGCAATGTTTCTTTGTAGAAATCATGACCTGTCTGCACAACAAAGCAAACAAAAACTGTCAAGGTTTTTCTACAGAAGAACGCTTCAGGCAACCTTCTGGAGACCCTTAGTCATTCTGGATTAGGCAGGTTGTCCCAATAAAATTCCAAATAAGGGGTTAAAAAATGGGGTAAACATTTATATTCTGATTATTTTTACCATGTGTATTAATATAGGTGTTTTAGACGATACATATATAGTTCAATTTTTATGTTTGTTTGTTTTTTATTCAAAACACCGAATACAAAAATGAATGACCATTCATTTGCCTGTTTCTAATATTTGAGGTCAGTGAATGGATGAATAGATAAATGGACATATTAATGCCTAACAGCAGTAATGATCACGCATGAATGAATAAATGATCAAGCTGATTACTTTGAAGAATAAACAAGTGTGTAAATGAACGAATGAGAGATCACCGAATGGCTCCCAGCTTCTTGTACTCGTCTTCCAGCACCTTTTTCACCGCCCTCTCTCTCTCAGACTGCTCTCCCCGACACTGCCACAGGAACTTGAAGCTGCGTAAGAAAGAGAGAGAGAGAGAGAGAGAGAGAGAGAGGAAGTGCCCACACTGAATTTAATGACTGACTGTGTTTGGTTAAAAGCACAGATAGACAATGAAGAAATAATTATATATTTACATAGTTGTGAAACTATATAGTCAGCACAGTGGCACGGTGGTTAGCGCTATTGCCGCACAGCAAGAAGGTCCTGAGTTTAATTCCACCATCAGGCCGGGGTCTTTCTGTGTGGGCGTTTGCGTGGGCAGTTTGTGGGGATAGGCAAAAACTGCCCATAGGTATGAATGCGGGAGTGAATGTGAGTGCGAATGGTTGTCTGTCTCTGTGTGTTAGCCCTGCGACAGACTGGCGACCTGTCCAGGGTGTGCCCCGCCTCTCGCCCTATGACAGTTGGGATAGGCTCCAGCGCCCCCCGCGACCCTGAAAAGAATAAGCGGAAGCGGATGGATGGATGAAAATATATAAATTATAACCAAGTTATTCAAATACTTAGTGGGTCTGAATTTTACTTTCACTAGCTGGGACCACATCTTCAGTTACGATGAATGATGATGGATGAGAGACCGTGGACTGATGCTGCGATTTGGGGAAGGCCTCGGAGGGGACTGGCAGCAGCTCCTGGGTGGGGCAGATCCCCAAAGAAGGCATCCCCTAGCAGAAGCGAAGATTGGACATTGTGAAGGTCTTGGAGATTGTTGCGAATGTATAACTGGTAGTCTTGTGATGACCATCGGACCGTGAGCTTGATTAAGTGGTCCATAATTCCTTTGCGGGAGGCATAAGTTGCTGTACCAATGTGGAAGGAATGGCCAAAGAAGAGATTAGGAGAAATCCTGGACACCATAAAACTTGCCAAAAATGTGAAAGAAACTATGATCTGGTTGGGATGTGGCTGGATTCGATGATGAGCTGAAGGTCTGGATGTAAGTTATGCTGGGATTTTCTGAGGTAGAGGTAATGGGTCAGCAATTCACAGGGGCTTAAAGGTGAGTTTATTTTAAAGTAAAATATCAAAAAGCGGCTGCGCAATTGGTTGGTTTTGCTTTGTCTGAAGAAGAAGACGAAGCAGTTTTTGGAGACTGGGCGGCGGTTGCTTAAGCAGGGATAAAGATCCGGATGGAATTTTGTCGATAAGGAGGTCAATTCTGAACAGCGTAGAAACCCGAAGAAGGCAAGCAGCAACATAGTGTGCATGCCAGTAAGTAGTCACTGTACTTCAGCCGGAGCATGGAAACGCAGTGATAAAGAAGTTAGGGGCAAACGGCATGGGGTTGCAATGGGAGCCTGACGTTGGAGACCTTTGATGAGTAGCAAGCTGAGATGGGTTTAGAGGTCAAGCAACGCCCCCTGTGGGTATTTTGGCAAAAACATTGACGCCTCCGAGGTACATCTTTATCGTGGGAATTTTAATGCCCAGGAATTGGAATGCAAAAGTTACAAAACTGATCTGTCTTCAGGAGGGGAAAGCTGTGCAAAAGACATCTCTGTATAGTGAAACTCGAGCAGAGTAAGCTCTTTTGCCCAAGATGGGGCCGGACCGCACATGACGATGGGGCCGTCGCGGCTGTTGATCAACCTGGGTGGAGCAGGCTGGTTGACTAGTGGAAAAATCAGCTCTGTCAGATCTATATATTTACAATCAATGATTTGTTGGCAAAGGTAAGCGGATACTGGGAAAGAGGTGACCCTGAAATGACGTTGCTCTATGCTCAGGCTGCTGGGGAACATCCCACAATGCACTGGGTACTGCAGTTTGTATTTGAGTTTGTCTGTCCATATTCTCCATTTTTGTCTTCTCCTCTCTTACTCCCTAACCAGTCACAATAAAAGCCCCCTCGCCGGGCCTGGTTTTATTGGAGGTTCCTCCCCACCATCTCCAAATGTTTACTGAAGAAGGACCACCTGCACATTGGGACCCTCTGATGTTTACATTATATTACAATCACTGGCAGCAAACATCAGCTGATGGTTCAACCTTTGACCACATCTAATATAGTGAACTATTAAAGATACTTCCCTCCCCACACCCACAGTTGCTACAGAACTGCAGAGTGCTTTAAAATTCACCTCCATCCCTGCTCTTCCTTTTTCTGTTCTTCCTGCTGTCATCTGCTCTGTTATTTCCTGAAGTCCGACTACTGCCTTATTTCTTAAATATCAATGACTGCAAATCCAAATAACACATTTTGGGAAAATATTGCAGACTTTTGGAGGATAGTTTGGAGTGTCCCCTCTGCAAATCGATACCTTTTCCCCTGGTAGGGTCTCCCATGGTGTGCATGCTGCGGTGGGTATCCTAGGATCCCCTCGGCTTGCTGCCTGTACTTTGGGGTTTCTCCCAGTAGACGAGCGGGTTTCTTCCCTGCGCCTTCGGGTGAGTGAACAGGTCCTGACTGTTGTCTGCTCTTATGTGCCGACTGACGGTTCAGACTACTCAGCCTTCTTGGAGTCCCTGGGTGGGATGCTTGAAGGTGCTCCACCTGGGAACTCCGTTGTCCTACTGGGAGACTTCAACGCTCATGTGGGCAACGTTAATGAGACCTGTTTGAACATAAGAGTGTCCATACTTGCATGTGACACCAGGACACCCTAGTCTGCAAGTCAGTGATCGATTTTACAATCGTATCACCACACCTGCGGCCATTTGTTCTGGACACTTGGGTAAAGAGAGGGGCTGAGCTGTCAACTGATCACCACCGGGTGGTTAGTTGGATCAGGTGGCGGGGGAGAATGCTGGACACACCTGGCGCACCCAAATGTATAGTGAATTTGTGCTGGGAACACCTGGCAGAGGCCATAGTTTTGCGAGATCGTCTATGCATACCTCTGGCAGAGCTTCAAGGGCATTCCGAGGGAGAATGGTGACATTGAGGCCGACTGGACCATGTTCAGCACCTCTATTGCCAAACCAAATGTTGGGCACCAGAGGTGAAGGGATCCACAAAGCTGAAGAAGGAGGCCAATCTGGCTTGTTTAGCTTGTGGGACTTTGGAGGCAGTTGATATGTACCGTCAGACCAAGCGGAACATGGCTTGGGCAGTGGCTGAAGCAAAAAGTCAGATGTGGTAGGAGTTTGGAGAGGCCATGGAAAAAGACTAAAAAGAGATCCTAGCACACCGTCAGGTAACTCAGGAGGGGAAAGCGGTGGCCTACCTGCACTGTGTATATTGCGGATTGAACGCTACTGACTTCGACTGAAAACATCTCTGGATCTCGTTTACAAGAGACAAGAGAAGGAAGCGGAAGACCGACAGATGGATTGGTGCTGCGGTTGCAGTGATGTGGACGCGGTACCGGTCCGTTGTGGTGAAGAGAGCTGAGTTTAAAAGCGAAGCTCTCATTTTACCAGTCGATCGACATCTCTACCCTCACCTATGGTCACGAGCTGTTGATTGTGACCGAAAGGACGAGATTGCTGATACGAGTGATGGATAGGCTGGTGGCCAGGCAGAGGGAATTCTGGGCTTCTCTGCTTAGGTTGCTGCCCCCACGACCCTGCCCCGGATTACTGGAAGAAGATGGATGGATGCATGGATTGATGGTTTCGAGTGTTTTTATGGGGGTGGTTTTTGGCTCTGTTTAAAGGGTACTACAGTATATGCGCTGTATTTTAAAAGTTCAGTTAACAGCTTAGCTGATCTTCCAGCCGCTTCAATGGCTACCTGTAGGTGTGTGGTGGACTGGCCAACAGTAAACCTTCAGAATAAAAAACTTGCACATTTAAGCTGCTTTAAATAGGCCCACAAAACTGTCAAACAGCATTTATGTTCTTTAGTTCCTTTTTAAAGAACTTAAAGTTCGAGAGCAAATCAGCCGTGTTGAATGACACTGTTTTATGTAGTCTCTGTTGATGGCATTATTAACAAAGCACAAAAGCATAAATATGAAAACAAATGGTTCATCATCGTCAAAACTCTAATAAATATTCACAACAATAAAGACATAAATGTGATGTGATGATACTTTCACTAATTAATCAATGCAAAGAAATCAGAATAGGATGATGAAACTGATAAAACAGAATAACAAATGGAGTGTGCACAAAGAGTAGTCAGAATAGAATAGCACTGATAGCAGGTGATTGGCTCTGCAGATGGTATGCTGACACTCACTCTGAGCCAATGAAGATCCAATACAGCCACAACCATGTCAGCAGCAGCATGATAACACTGATGGGCAGGCACAACAGGAGCCAGTTGGCAAAGTTGATGCTGTTGCAGTCTGGGTAAACGCTGAATGTAAAGACAGTGTTTGGAGAACATTGTTTTTTTTTTTACAGCAGTCTTTCAATCATTTAGTTCATTCTAGCTGTGCAGCAGACTGAATTAACCAAACATGAACGGCAAGCCTTCATTTGTGCCTGTTCATTTTTCTAAAGTAGAATCACTTTAAAGTCTCTTTGTGCTGGTTTTTATCGCCTTTATGTTCCTGAAGACTAAAAGAAAGATCGTATGTGTGTTTTCATTAGGTAGGGATTTGTGTTGGTGTGTAGGGCTGTAATTGGAGGTTTCTGATGTTAAATGGTAATTATGAGACAATATGTTCAGAGTAATTTTACAGAGAAACTTGAAAGTAATGCGTAGAGAAAACAAGTTACTTTCTCTGTGGAGTAATTAAGTAACATACTGGATTAATTTTAGCTGTGTTCTGTGTAATAAGAGTAAAACATTACTTTTTTGGAATAATGATCCTGAGTAAAACTTCATTACAACAGAGAGGGGATATACCTCCAGCATAAGCAAACATTTGACCACACAGCTTGCAATTCATTTGCATGAATGTAATGTCTTTGATGTCCTGACTTGCCATGGTGACTCTCAAAGTGCAGCCAATGAGAATTGATAGATTCTACTTACAAGACACTCACCGGTTGAGGTGCTCAGCGAATATGAGGTTAGGAGAGGTTCCGGGCAGCGTGGTGATGCCGCCAATGTTGGAGGAGTAGGCAATGCCGATGCACATGGCTTTGCATAGCATCCGACCCTGTCGACATCCTGTGTCCCTGTGGGAGGCCGTGGGTACGTTCTCTGCAGCCTGTAAGACAAAATGCGGAGAACTCAAGACAGAGAAGCAGAAATAGCGGAAGTAGCAGAACATGTATGAGCACTGGAAAAATATCAAAGAATAATTTTATTCTGTGTTTGTTTGGTGCTTTTTTGCACCTCGTCTGCTGCAGGCTGCGACTCTGCTGGTATTTGAACAGAAGTGAAGGTTTCTGTGGGGACATCTGGCTCTGTGCTGTCACTGAGAGAGGAATAAGGGATTCAACTGCTCTTCAAGCACATCAGAAACAAAAACTTAGAACACCCTGAACCCAGAGGGCAGCAGTGAATCCCCATGCTTTACATACCTCAGAGCTTCTTTATTTTTTGCAGTACAGTTGTTGATTTCTGGAAAAATGACAGATTATGGTCAGGGCCACAAGTTCCATCCTACTGTAAGCTCAAAAACACACAGCTATCTCACACTTTTAATTATATTTTGTGCTTTTATAAAGTAAAGTATGTTGTCTGTGCAGGTACCGTCCAGCTCCAGGGTAGGGTTGTCTTCACCAGAGTATCCCTCTTCATTCGCCTTTAGAATCTGTTGGAGAACAGCATCTACGATGGGCATCACCATGGTAACAGCTGATGTGTTTTGGACCCACATTGAGAGGAAGGCACAGCCGGACATGAAGCCAAGCAACAACCTGAAGGAGACAGTGGTGTGTTCAAAAAGCAACAATGGAGCCTTCACACTTAAATCTCGAAGAAATACAAAATTTGAATCCAACAGCAGAGAACGAAGATGCTCACCAAGCAGGGTTGACCCCCACCAAGGTGACGAGCCTCAGGGCGACTCTGCGGTGGAGGCCCCACTTCTCGATGGACGTGGCGAGGCAGACAACACCCACAAGCAGGAAGTGGAAGTTATTAAAATACTCCTTTGCCACCTAGAGGAGAAAAGGGATTTTAGAACAGAGAGTGCATCTACAGGGTAATTGAGGAAGAGGAGTTAAAATTTAAGCCCATTTTCAAATTTGAGTTTGTGGCCAAAGAAAATGTTATACAGGGAGTTAACAAGTAACAGATAAACCAATTAAAAATACAGCTTTAAAAAACACACAGATGCACTGGAAAATATTAAATAATTGGATCAGTACAAACAATTGTTCTGAGCTGTAAATCATACAGAGCAAGAAATTAGGAAAACAGGGCTCTTTATTATTTGTCAAGAAAAAAAAGAAAAATTTCATGTTGAAGTCAGTGCTTCTTTTTCCACATGTAGGCACACAAGTAGCACATCGGCTGCTGTGCATTCATAAAGAATAACAATCCTTAAGACGAAGAACATTTTGTCCTCTGTAACTCTGATTGACTCACATTGGAGGACGACATGATGCCACACAGGGGGAAGAGGATGGCGGGGAGCATGGCGGTCATGGACAGTGGAATCACCTCTGTTATCCAGTATATTGCCATCAGCAGCAACACAAAGCCACATTCTGCCTCCTACAGGGAAAACACGATTACACACACACAAACACACACACACACACATCAATGACTGTAATTATAGCTAAAGGTCATTTTTATATAAATGTAATGCAAAAATTAGACGCAGCAGCTTGTCCAGTAAGCCAGAGTCTCTCTCGTCACTCAGCAGCTACCTTCAAACACCTTTAGCTAGTTATTTGGACTGAAGCATTGTCTAATTTAACCTTCATTCCAGCGGTTATCTTTCTATTATCTTTACTTTTTTCTTTTGTCTTTTCTTTTTTTGAACCATCCGGTTGTGGATCTGCATGAACATTTCCGCCACCAGGCTTCACAGTCAGGGCCCAGTATTTTGGGTGTCACACTATCAAGTTCTGCTTGATAGTGCAATAATGTTTCCCGTTTTTATTATTATTAGCTTGTCTGTTGATCTTGTCAGTCTTGAATTCTTGCAGTTACTTTGCATATCGGAAGTTATTAGTTCCCTTCACTTCACATTCTTTTCCTTTGAGTCCTTTCCTTATGCAGAGTTTACGTTTCTGTTGGAGTTTCCTTGTTTGGTAATTAGTGGTTGTTTGTGTCTAGTGTTTATTGTTACTTCCTCACCCATAATTGAATCGATCTCATGCAGACATGTCTCTTTTCCTCACTGATGTGTCGACCTGAATGCTCCCCATTTTAAAAAAAATAGTGCTGTCTCCCCCTTGTGCTTTGTCTCAGCTATTCTCTCATGTGCTCTGTGTCAGTTTATGCTGTGCACTTGATTTGCTGCTTCATGGACTTTCATGGAATTCTAGGTTCTCCTGAAACAATCTTGGTCTGATCTGTACTAAATATTAGACTTGTAGTCAAGACCGCCTAAACCAAGACAATACCGAGACCAGAGGGTATCGAGACCAATACAAGATGAAGACCAAGACAAAGTCGAAACGAGACCGAGACAAAAAAGTCTTTAAACTGCAGCCAGATGCTGCTTTGTTTACGGGTCTCAGGCATATTTATGTGTTTTTGCGATGCACTCACACAGCCCTCCTCACCGCTGTCTACTGTCTCACTCACTTACTGAGAGGACAGACGCACGCTCCACTTGACTGTCACGTCTCTCACCCTCTCTGTTTTTCACATAATGATATTATCCTATATCCTCGCACATGATTGGCCACAATATGGAGGGATTGGAGCATAGCTGAGCCACTGTGTGAGAGCTGAGCAGCGAAAGGACATTGAGGAGCGGCTCTCGCTCAATGGGAGTCGACTCTTCTGATTCACCACAAAGCACTCTCTAAGCACGGCTCTTAGAGCTGATGCTTTTGCACATGACACATTATCGAACGTTACGTTGTGTGTCATGGATACTGTTGACTCCAAATCTCCCGACCACTATGTCGATCTGAGACAGCAAGACCGAGACAGCGAGACCAAGACAAGACTGAGGGATTCGAGACCAAGACCACGTAAAAGTGGTCTCAAGACCACTAACTAAATCCAACTAAATATTTCAAATCTTATTATAGCCTGAAAAACAAAATCCCACTGGCAAGCTTTGTTTTTGCACTGCAAAGGCTTTCCTTTGACCTATTTTCAATGTAGGTCAAACTTTCTGTAATCGGATATTGAGCTTTATTTGCAATCCCAGACAAGTCATTTGTTAACTGAAATTGTAAAAACTAACCATGAGGTATCATTTTATGTGTTTTCATTTTATGAGTATATAAAGTTTTATATGCAGAAAGTTTTAGAAAAGGATCAAGGGTCAGCTGGCACTAAGTACAAGGGTCTGTTAGCCGTATTTATAGTGACGGGAAAAAGTGTAAAAGATCTCGTAGTGCTCAGAGTTGAAAAAAGTGTATAAGTACAAATCCATGACTGGCTGATAGGAAAGCAAATAAAGAGCGAACGTAAACTTAATAAAGCACAGAGACTGTTCAGATCATCACAAAAACTCTACAATAACTACAACCTACTGAGATCATATCATAAAGTTTATGTGCTATACAAGTAAAACTAGCAGTGGCAACATATTTCACAATATGCAAATAATGATAGGAGCTGCTTAAAAACACTGATCAGTGCAATTTCAGTTAAATGAAACCGTTATGGAGGGGATACAGTTCCCGTCATATTTGTGCACACACCTTTGTTCCGATGACCAGAGGAAGAGGGAGCAGCAGCAGCGGCGTGAGGATGATCAGGAGAAGGCTGTGATAGTTCCACAGTGCTTCGCTCAGCTTCGACAGCATCCTCCGGTCGCACATCAATTTCGTCTCTCCTGCAGGATCCTACTGTGACCCCGCAGTTATTTGGCTGTGATATGTTAGAGAGGGTAATAATTGACCGAGAATGACAAGCTGGAAACCAGTTTGGGGAAGTCATCAAACTACTGGAAGCTTCATTTTACATTTCCATATCAGTTTTCTTGAGCAAGATACAAAAGCTCATTAGTAACTGTTGGTTATCTCTCCACTAAGACAAAGGTCAGATGTTAATGTGACAAGGCTTTTCATTTATTTCAAGCGTGGTGCTTGAAAGGGTCAATGTCAATAGTTTCGCTGGAACTACAAATGCTTTTTTCACACCTAATGGAAGTATACCGATTCACAAAACATTTATATGTATCGGTGGTGTGTACTCCATTGTGTGTTATTAATGCTAAAATTTCTTAATCTTCCTTTTGACTTTGTCACAGACTCTGACATAAGAACCAAAATATAAAGGATGCAAAGTTTCTTATCAAGAATCATTTTTATTAAAGTATGTATAGCAAGTATACATATACAGACTTAATAAGTTGCTTCTAGTGATACTGTTTTTGTACTTGTTTCAGATCCTGATTTTTAAGGGTTTATTTTTTGTTTGATCTTGTTGTGAAATATTTTAAACACAATATTTATTTGCTAGAATGCCGGCCTGCATCATTTAAAATCATCACTAGATTAAAAAACATGATAAGGACTGTTATGTGATTTCATGTTGAATAGTCAGAAGTAATAAGACACATGTTGAAAACCCCAGAGCTCCATTAAAGTTTAGCTGAGTTTATAGCCTGTTGCCTTTGACCCACAACTAATGACTAAACCAAATTCATGAAAATACTTTCACAAACAAACTTTCCAGATGGAATGTGCACCGAGCTGACAGCATCCAAACCTCTTAAATTTATGAGTTAGACTTTAATCAAGAAAATGATAAGAGTTTTACAGTACTGTATAATCTCTTTGAGTCACTCCTGATTTCTTTATATTTTTCTTCCAAGGAGCCAGACTTTATTTTTTTAAAGAGCTCTTTCAGTCCAGTCCTTGTAGCTTACAATTTTCAGAGAAATGTTTGCTTTTGTTTGTTAAGTCACTCAACACTGACCTATGAATCATTCAACCATAGAAAAAACACCAAACTCAAGGAACGAATCAGTGTTGTGTCTACACATAACAGATAACTTAGCAAAACAACAAATTTAAATTCTATATTTAAGTACTTTCTTACACATACCCTGTCACAAATAAAACAAACAAAAAAAACCATTTGTTCCTGTTTCTCCCCTCTGCAAATTGCTACCTTATCGTGGTGGAGACGTTTGTGTGCTTTGGGGTCCTTAGGACCAAGTAAAGCGCAATACAAAAATACAGACCATTTACTAGGGATCCCAGGGGCTATGTTGTCCGGGGGCTTCTGCCCGTTGGTAGTGTCTCCCGTGGAAAATTTGTCCTGGGTGAGGGACCAGACAAGAGCAATTCAGAAGGACACTATAAGTAGAACACCAAGGGAACAGTTCACCCTGCCCAGGATAGGGTTACTGGGGCCCCACCCTGGAGTCAGGCCAACCTGTGCCCAGCAAGGGCCTGTGCTGTTGTCTGCGGGATCAGTGGCGGTTTATAGTTCCCAGCCTTCTTGGAGTCCCTGGGTGGGATGCTGGAGGGTGCTCCATCTGGGGACTCTGTTGTCCTACTGGGAGACTTCAACGCTCATGTGGGCAATGATAGTGAGACCTGGAGGGGGTATGATTGGGAGGAACGGCCTCTGGGATCTGAACCCGAGCAGTGTTTCGTTGTTGAACTTCTGTGCAAACCACAGTTTGGCCATAACGAACACCATGTTCGAATATAAGTGTAACCAAGGTAACATCTGACCCCACTTCCGCAAATCCCTTTATCCGGTCGTTAAGTGATGACGTGACGAATCCTACTTCCGAGTCTAAAGTAGTCTGCGTTTAATATGGCTTTTGTGTTGTTAACATGTTTAATGTTTTGTATTTCCTTCTATTTAATCTCAAAAACCTCCTAAAACAGTCAGTGATCCCTGTTGACCTCCCTCTGCTTTTACCACTAATCATTTATTTAAGCTCAGTTTTTAAAACCTTAGGATGTAGCTACAGCCCAGCCCATGCAGCAGTATATGAATGACTAACCTCGTATTGTGGATGGATTATCTCAGTTGTTCTCCTGGCTGAAGTTTGGTCCGTTTACAGCATCCTGCCATGCGATTACATTTGTTCCTGACCACCGAGAACACTCATGTTAACTTTTATTGAGTGGGAAAAAAGTTAGCTTGTTTATATTATGCTAACGTAGCTGTGTCGCTAGCGGTCACATAGCACATCATTATATACCAGCTAGCCAAACTTCAGTAACCCTACAAACGTCACTGCTGTTTAGTTTTCTGTCTTCATTTATGTTGGAAGTGATAGCAGAGCTGTACGTTTTAATTTGTTTCCAAAACCCCGCAGTCAGGACATGCTATATTGTATTTAGATAGAAGCTAGCGAGCTAACTTCCTGCTAACTTCTAACTCCGTTAAATGTCATAAATTCGGTTTTCATGGATGCCTGGATGTTAAACTCAATTGTTACACCTGGTAGAGCAGAACGCTGATCATTTTATTAAAGATGAAAGACTTTAGACAGTTTTTCAACTCTCAGTAATGCCATAGTGATCGTTTGATATATGGACCTGCAGCGGAGTTTAGGCCCAGACACGGCTAGTGACGTCAGACTTAACGACCTGTATAAATTCTGGGTCAATCAGCTGCATGTCCCCTGCTCCCATGGCTGCTGTTGTCCCTGTGGTTGGCGTGCTTGTCAGATATTGACAAATTACGGACTCCATATCAATTGACAGCGTGCAATAATCTGGCCGATTCATTCACCTTTATACCCTCTCTCAATCCACTCAATGGTGAGTTATTTGCTTTGTTTGTTTTGTCACAATTAATGAAACTGCGTAGCCACCGTTGCACCCCAATTGTCACTAACGCTAGGCTAGTGACAATTAAGTACAATTACTGGTTTTATTATTAAATATTGTTGTTTTGGGGGGTTTTTCGCACTATGGCCGAATGTTAAATTAACGCTTCGAGAGTTGAGTGAGTGATTTGATTTTTGTAGTTTTGTCCGTTTTGGATGTTTTTTGTTACTTTTCTGATTTAATGCCAAAACGGCCTATGGGACTTTTGAGTTAAACTCCTTTTAGATTATTGAACTTGTTGCGCAACACCTATAATTAAATCTGTTTTGTAAATATTTGATTAACCTTGGATAATGTTTATCAGCCTTATTGCCAATTTACTTTACTTTGATGGGACCGACGTGCATGTTTTTCAGTAGTATTTTGAATGAAATTTATTATAAGAGATGATGACTATGATATGTTATGATTTGTTTGGTTATTTGTTTATTGATTGTTGTATGAAATATGGCATTAATTATTTGACTTTGTTATTTATAGATTTATTTATTTTGTCATGGCAGTAGAACGCTGTTTCATTTTTTTGACCTTGTTTAGGTCAGGTTTTTTTTTTCTCTCCCGCAATCAAAGCCCTGATCAGTGCGGGATGGCGAGCCACTGCAATGCGGTAGGACCTGCGAATCTATGGACTAAATTGAACTGCTGATACATGACCTATCACAGGTCAATGGAATAAAACTGTTCTCATACTGAACTAAACCTCGTCCCACCTCCCTTTGGGACCTAATAAGCTGTTTTGTGTTATTGCCATTATTTCTGTTTGTGATATATATGCATATATTTATTTTCTGTACATCTGTCTATACATTTCTCATTTACCGTAACATACATAATATATTTTTGAGCTCTATTTCTATTTCCTGTGTTTTATTCACACACTCAGGCTCCGTAGTTGAAGCTACTTCTGATTGCTCATTATCTATGAAGCTGCAGTCAGGCACCCTGGTCCTTTACTGCATTACATAAGAGTGTCCATACATGCACATGACACCAGGACACCCAAGTCTACAAGTCAATGATTAATTTTATAATTGTATCACCAGACATCTGGACACTTGGGTAAAGAGAGGGGTTGAGCTGTCAACTGATCACCACTGGGTGGCGAGTTAGATCAGGTGGTGGGGGAGGACACTGTATAGACCTGGTGTGCCTAAACATATAGTGAGGGTGCGCTGGGAATGCCTGTCAGAGGCCCCGGTCCAGACCATGTTGAGCAACTCCATTGCCAAAGCCTCTGCACAGCTGTGGCCGCAAGGTGGTTGGTGCCTGTCGTGGTGGTAACCACCAGCCACCAGACTTAAGAAAGATTCCTATCAAGCTTGGTTAGCCTGTCAGATTTCGAAGATAGCTGATGGGTACCGACAGGCCAAGTGGAATGCGACTGAAGCAAAAACTCAGGTGTGGGAGGAGTTTGGAGAGGCCATTGAAGAAGACTTTTGGTCTGCCTTGAAGAGATTTTGGCAAACCGTCAGGAGGGGAAAGGGGTCCTCTACCTGCACTGTGTATAGTGCCGGTGGAGTGTTGCTGACTTGACTGAGAAAATTGTCGGGCGGTGGAAGGAATACTGAGTGATGAGCTACACCAGGGCTGCCCATTGTCAGCGATTCTGTTTGTAATTTTTATGAGCTAGTGGACCTTATGGTCACTGCCATAGAATACCAGAATTGGCAGGTCCACCACTGGCACCCTGTGATTTTCACACAGGTTAACCCTGAGCACAGGGTGCACATCTGTGACAGATGTAAAAGTGTCTGGAGTAGTCGTGGAGAATGCTATGCTGCCTGTAACATTTAGTGTAACTGAACAAACAACTAATCTTGATGCAACAGTTCTCTCAAATCTTAGGCCAATCTCTAAACTCCCCTTCCTTTCCAAAATCCTGGGAAAAATTGTCGTCCTTCAGCTTCAGGCTTTTCTCAAATTAATGCCATCTCAGAAACATTTTATTCTGGTTTCAAAGCGCTACATTGCACTGAAACTGTGCTTTTTAAAGTTTTCAATTATCTTTTATTAATTGTTGACTCTGGTAACTCTGCCATTTTAGTGCTTTTAGATCTGAGTGCAGCATTTTATCCAGTGGATTATGGGATTCTCTTATCAAGACTGGAGAGCTGTGTAGGTGTTAAAGGAACTGCACTTGAATGGTTCAGATCCTCTTTGACTGTTAGAAGTATTTCTGTCAGGTTTGGTGGCTCTTCATCACCACATCCACCCCCCTTACATGTGGGGTCCCTCAAGGATCTAACCTGGGCCTAGTACCCTTTTCCCTTTACATGCTCCCATTAGGCTCTATTTTCAGGAAACATGGAATCTCATTTCACTGTTATGCCAATGATTCTCAAATCTACTTTCCTCTTAAAATAAATTCTACAGACTCTCTAAAAGTGTGGGAGGAGTTCA